AGGCGGCGCACTGCTTGTGGCCGCCTGACAGTTAGCCCGGACCACTTCTCGACGCCCCCGTCGAGCCCTAGCAACTTTCGTCAGACGAAGGGGATGAGCTTCAGGGTGATGGCCTGTAAAGGTCGCCCACGTCGGCGTTCAATTGTTTATGCTTCAGTTTGTTATGAGCCCTGGGGCTAAGAAGATGCTTCTTGACTCTCCTGTCTCTTCTGGTTTTTGGCCCCGGCACGATCCTCTTTTTCTTCTGTCTTTGCCTCAAGAAGGGTGTCGATCCGCCAGTACGTCTAACGCGAACTCTCTGTTTAGCTCGCTTGAGCACGAATAACCATCTCTTCTCTTTTCCTAAAGCTAACCCTTTGACCTTTCTCTTCTCTATTATTTTCCTTTTCTTGGAACTCTCCCCTGCCCCGAATTGCCTCAAGGGGGCTCCATCCTCCAATTTGGCTTTCCCTTTCCCTTTCGGGCTCGTCAGCGATAAGATGGGCGCGGGCCCGGGCCTAAACAACTTTAACCTTGCACCCGCCACTAGGTCCTTCCACTTGGATCCGTCTAATTCTGCTATCATATATGCACCCCAGTCGAATGCCTCAACCACTCTGTAAGGTCTCATCCATCTGTTGGCGAGTTTTCCGCTCCAGGTTCTTTCCAGCGCTGCATCGTAGAGAAGGACCATATCTCCTACGCTCACCCTCTCTTTCCTGATTCGCACGTTCTTATCCCATCTCTTTTTACCCTTGTCCCTTTCCACTACCAGACGATTTGCCGTTGTCATGAGGTCATCTTCCAAACCGTAGGCTATTTGTCTCGCTCGGGCAGCTAAGAGTTCCTCTCTGGACATCTCCTCCGCCCAGTCGACGGTTATCAAGCTGTCGACGTGAAACTCTATGGGAAGCGGACAATGTCGCCCAAACCACAAGGTGTACGGTGGGTATCCAGTACTAGTCCGGACCGTGACGTTGTCCGCCCATATTGCGTATCGAAAATATCATGGCCAATCACTGTCCTTACCCTTGCACCACTTGGACAGTGACACTATCAGAGTCTGGTGTCCCCTCTCTACAGGGGAGTTCGACTATGGGTCGCACCGGCTCTCCTAAACACGCTCTAAACCTCATCGGCTAGGAATTCCGCCCCTCTGTCCATCACTATCTTGCTGACACAAGCATACCTAGATAAATACTCCGGGACAAAGTTCTTTACTTCCTTTGCCGCCTTACTCCTGATAGGTCTACCGTCCACGAACCCAGTGAAATCGTCTCGTATGCTCACGACGTAGTTCATATTGCCTACCCCTCTCGGCATTCTCACTAGATCGATGTGTACCTTCTCTCCTGGTCTGGTCGGATAGGATGGATGAAGTGGCTCTTTGTATTTCACAAGAGCTCTCTTCTGGCACTCTTCGCATGTCATACAGTACCTCTCGACGTCCTTATACTGTCCATCCCACCAGTACAACCGGAGTATCTTTTCGTAGGTTCCTTTAACTCCCCTGTGTCCTCCGACTACCCCGTCGTGAAGTTCCGCAACTATCGTCTGTCTCTCCTCAGGATCACAGACTACTCGCAAGGGCATTCCCGACACTACTGGCCTTCGGAAAAGGTGGCCCGCTCTAAGACAGTACTGGACTGCTTGCCTCCAGATATCTGAATCTTGACTCTCCTCTCACGTCAGGTGTAGTCCGATCATTCGGTACTTACCCTCGTAAAGATTAACTAGAAATCTCTCGGCGCGTTTCAGCTCTGCCATTGTCAGAGCCCCAGCTACTATCGGACGCTCGAAAAGGATGCGTGAAAGTCCATCTGCCACGGCATTTTTAGTACCAGATATTCTCTCAACCGTGTAATCGTATAGCCGAATCCGTATTAACCATTGGGCGATGGTCGGCTCCGTCAGACTAAAGTCCTTCTGGAGGACAGAGGCAACCGCGGTGGGGTCTACTCTCAAGATGAACCGTCGCCCATAGATATAGTGTCTGAACGTGTCTAGACACCGGAGAACAGCTAACAC